AAAAAAAAAAAAAAAAAAAAAAAAAAAAAAAGAACCTAAGAGGAGACAGCATCACCTGGAAAACTCATGAGAACAGTTTCAGAAAGGAAAAAAAAAACCCCACAGTAGTTAAGACAGACAGCAGAGCCCAGGAAACAGGAACGGCAGAGGAAGGAAGGAGGGAAGGAGGGAGGGAGGGAGGGAGGGAGGGCCTGAGTGCATGAGAGCCTGAGTGCAGACGGGTATCGACAGGAAAGGACTCAAAGGAAGCCTCGGGAGGAAACAAGTGGGCAGAATGCTCAATCTAGAAAACAAAGCACTGCCCTTTCCCTCCGAGATTTTAAAACTACACCAAACCAGCTTCACCCCACACGGCTGCACTTCTTAACGCTTTCCTGCACGGAGGTCATCACCGTCTCCCTCCCTGGCATCAATTCTGTTTAGCAGATGTGCAAGGAGGGAGAAGGAAGGGGGTGGCCCAGGGAGAGGACCCCTCCTCCAACACAGGCTGCTGGGACGACAGGGGCCCATCTGACTTCAAAGTTCTGCAATAACTAAAGTAAAAACCCTTCCATGAATTTTAAGATTTTACTTCAACTGAGGAACTACAAGTCAACACAGCTTTGCTTCTTAATGTAAAGATGCTTAGAAATATATTACACTGAGAGGTATGTTTAAGTATTAAAATGGAACCTTTTTCTTTAACGTGTTGGCGTTTCATAGGGTGGCTTGTCACTATTGTTATCATTCAAGGACAACTGATCAAGAAAAAGAAACATTAAAAAATAAAGCGATACAACACTTTTTAACTGGTCTTCTGGGGCACTGGCTCTTGCGCTCTTTTGGACTCAGAATGGCCAGAATTTTGCCTTGAAGTCAAACTAGGAAAAGGAACGATTTTTTTTTTTTTTTTTTTTTTTAAAAAAAGGAAAAGAACAGCAACAACAAAGCACACGCAGCTTACCATTTTTTGGACTTCAGCCGGGGAGGAGGGTTTCTGGGGATGAGAAACAGTGCTCTCATGGGGTGCATGTCACAGAGAGCTGGGGAGAGGAGAGGGCGCGTCAGTACGTGCTCAGGTTACTCATTCTTGATCTCTAGGGGCACGCGCTCTGCCCATCGTCTGATCTGCCCATCGTCTGACCGGCATGCTTTGCGTCAGGCAGTCTGCACATCTAGTTGTACAGCTGGGGGCACACCCTGAATACCCCACTTAAACAGAGCAAAATATGAGGAGGGAAAGCGCAAGAGAAGAACATACAATTTCAAACAGACATTGGAAAAGTTTTCATAAATCAAAGATAAATATTGATTCAACGTCCTAAAGGAGTTAACAGCTTAAGTTTCTACACCATCTATCAGACGACAATGAGATAACTTTATTTTCCTAGGGTTGCTGTGAGGATTAAATTAGACTCCGTCGTAAAGGCCTTCACACAACACCTGGAACACAGATGCGTGAAGCCCTCCGGGAACGCTCGCTGCTGACTGTTAGAGCGAGTGTGCCTCTGGAAGAGCAGAAACGGGGGCCAGATGGGACTGTTTAATTCTGTGCAATGACTGCCTGTTCTCCGACCACTTGCCCAACGAAGGCGTGTTAGGTGCACGTGTACACACGAGTATGTCACATCAGGTATTTCCGAGTGTTTATCCACCTTCACGAGACTCTTACAAGGCAGCTGGGAAATGGGGGCCAAAGAAAAGGAGGGCACTACTGTCCCTGCCGTGAAAGAGAACCGAGACAAAGGGCCAGGCAGTCCTTCCCCGTCTCGGTCAAGGGAGCACATGGTGATCAAGACGGACGGCCGCTTCTGCAGTGCAAACTAATCCTTAGCTGTGGGCAGTCTTTTATCATTCATTCAACAAATATTTATTCAGCAGCGACTACGTATCAGGAAGTTATACATTCTTTGTATACACTTTTTTTTAAAGGGGGACTGGCAGAAAATGCTGTTTTTCCCTTTGCTCTCTGAAACTCTACCCTGTTCCTGATTAAAAATCAATTTCATGAAGTTGTCATTGACTTATTAATGCATAGCAGAAGCAAAATTTCCCATAGATTAATACTGAAAAAAGTTATTCCACAGATAAAAGGCTGTGCCTCTATTTGTAAAGTTAAAACATAAGAAATACTGAAATTTCCTGTGGTAGGGCCAGTTTCACGGAATATTAAGTTCAAACTGCAAAAAGAAAAATTACTGTGTATTATCTGACATCAGAATAATTTCAGGTCACACGTCTGATTACAACTTAAATAAGAGATAACATAGCCCACGGACCTCAGGGAGATCTTCAAAAGGACTAATGCATGCCAAGAATTCCTTTCACATCGAAAACTCCACTGTATTTATGATTCCTTCATCTGAACGCCCCATCAGGAACAGTTTCATCCATGCAGCCACTCTCTTTGAAGCCTGGAGACTAGGTTTAAGTTACACAGAACTGGGCCGAAAAGGGAACGCAAGCTACTTACGGGGAGCGCCTTCTGCCATCTCAATGGCTGTGATGCCGCAGGACCACAGGTCACTCTGCAAACAAAGCGGGAAGTTAGGACACTGTCCTTGCTGTGAGGCCACCAACTCACCACTGCTGATCATTCACACAAATGACGCACTTGCATTCTTTGGGGTACGAACCAAAAGGAAGTTCGCCAGGAAATTAAAAGCACAAACACATCTGGAAGAACACCTTCCAAAAGAATGAATGAAAGATGCAATAAAGATAACACTGATTGTTAATTAGAACCGCTCGTATCTTTGATGGAACAAAGTTGGTCCCCCGTTACATCTTCTCCCTACCCGCCCACTGCGGGCTCTGCAGCTCATCATTTCTTCATTTCTCTCCAAGCATTTGATGATTTAGACTCCCAGCCTAGACAGATGTTTACTCTTATGTTTTATGACAATATCTCAAACTTAACTACGATGTTAAACATTTAAAGGCTAGAAAGTACTCTTTATGAAAGGTCCTCAGAAGAATTAATAAAATCCACCCTTGCTCACTAAACGGAATCATGCTGCCACGTCTCTCTACTCCTCCTTCAAACTTAGTCAGGGGTGTGAGATACGTTAAGTGCATGCAGTCTTTTCCTTCCGATTCCCCAGAATATTAATTTTAAAATTTGAATTTTACTCCTTTTTTTTTAGGCTACACCATGTGGCTTGCAGGATCTTAGTTCCCCCACCAGGGATCAAACCCGTACCCCCTGCAGTGGAAGCGTGGCGTCCTAACCACTGGACCACCAGGGAATTCCCTAAAATTTGAATTTTAGCTTTATCCCCTACGCAAATACAAGTTCCATGGGGACAGGTATTTCTGTCTGTTATTCACCTTTGTATCCCCAGAAGTGTGACTACCATGTGGTAGGCATTCAATATACATTGGATGACAGATGAGGTTTTATCAGCTAATTTCTTAAAATCCAAACAAGATTTTCTAAAAGCAGATAACAGATGTTTTTTCATCATTAGCCTTCCTTTGTTTAGACACTATCCTAATAAAGAAATTTACTGAAAGTTGCTCAGTTGAAGGGTTTTCCTAAATAACATATAACTATGCTATGGAGGCTCAAGCACATATGTTTTATTACAAGAATAAAGAGGCCCATGAACTGCTCCCTTATTTTTACGGAGTTTTCTATACCCTCAGGTACAAAGAGCAATTCACCACCTTAACCAGAAACCAATATGGGCAGCATCAGTGGTGGGACCACCAGGTGTTGACGCTCCCTAGGGTGATGCAAACAAACCACACCCATCTCCTCTCAAGGGATCTTGGAAGGCTTTTCTCGATACTAATGGAGCCTCTCCAGTTTATAGAAAACAAGGTAAATGACATTACAAAGACTGGAAAGTTAAAATTCAGAAATGGTAAGATAAACCTAAAGGGTGGAACACTGTCTCTTCAGCAAGCTGGTGTCATGCAGAAAGCGGGAGCTGGGGGAGAGGGTGTGATATTCTTCACTGAAAGATACTCAACCACCAACCAACCAAATACAACGTCTTGTCCTATATTGAATACTGGTTTGGAGAAACCAGGTGTAGACGAGCTGGGTCTAATTATGGACTCTGCATTAAGGAATCATTTTTAATTTACTCAGGTATGATAATATTTTGGATGCGTTAGAAATGTTCTCAAGTTTTAGAGATACGTAATGACAAAACAAAGAGTGAAAACTCCTAAAGTCTGTAATCTATTTGAAAATATTTCAGCATATAAAAACATAAAATAAATATTCCTCTCCACCACAGGCTCACACTGAGTTCCAGTAGTTGGGTATTTGTAATAAATACTAAATACACTGGTGTGTTGTAAGACAGGAACTCAACTGTGAGCATCATTAACAGGTACGTCAACCATTCTGACTCATTTACTTAAGGCAAGAGAATTTTTAAGTAGTTTTTACAAACACATTCAACCGGAGTCTGATGATCAAATATGGGTTTTACATCAGGATCAAAAAGTGCATTATTGATACAAGTCCCTAGAGGTCACTCTAAGTTTACATATATTTGTGACCAAAGCAAAGCTGCAAAGCTCTTTAACAACATTCTAAAATTTCACACAGATGAAGCTATTGCTGTATATTGCCAGTATTTTTAAAATAATAAATATCTGATTATAATATATTCTTCAAGTTAAAAAGAACAGCAAACAGGGCAGAAGCACTGAATTTACTCAGGACAAAAAAATTTCTACCGACAACGGAGTGACACACAGCCCCACCCCACCTTGAAAGCAGCATCATACTTAGTAACAGAACAGGGGTGATGCAGAATGGACTAAAATAAAACAGCCTCAAAATACTGTCCCAGCAGATGTGCCCCTGCAGCAGGGGTCCATGTGGTCCTCAGTGAAGCAGCAGGAAGGGGGACTGGAGGCGGAGCCCCACCCACGGGAAGGCAGGGCCGGCGCCTCACCCTGTAATCATAGGTGGCGTCGGGGTTCTCGTCACAGGCGATGACCTCGGGAGCCATCCAGTACGGGGTGCCTATGAAGGTGTTTCTCCTCCCCACGGTCCTGTCCAGCTGAGCACTCACACCGAAATCCACTGCGGCAGGAAGAGGAAGGAGGGGAATTAGAACACAATTAACAAACCAGTCAACGGCAAGGGGAAGAATGTGAGGATGAGGGGTCTTCAGAGTAAACCACACAGAAACACTGCACAGACTGCGACCTCCCACCAACAGGCATAAGGGGCACCCTCTCCAGGGCCAAGCCACTGAGACGGCAAGACGCTCGACCAGCCTGGGAGCTCCCTGGGACGCTGGACGCGCCACCTCCCGGAGCATCCCAACAGCGACCACCAGAGGGACTTCCGGATGAGCCAGGAGCACGGGGAAAGGGAGTCAGAAGCCAGGCTAAGCAGTAAGCCCAGCTCCCAAGCCTTAAATAAGACAGAAGGAGAAACGGGGTAACGTTTTCAGCTAACTGCACTCGGGCAGGGTATTAGATCATGTGGCACGCCCATCACATACCAAGCTTCACCTCTGCGTTCTCGGTCAGCAATACATTCTGGCCCTTGATGTCCCGGTGAATCACGTGATGGATGTGGAGATGTGCCAGTCCCTGAACAGGAAAGACAGGTCTGGATTTAGTTCTCTGTCGCTGTAAGTGACTAGCCCAGAACACACCCTTTATAATAAAGTGTGCACACAGGCCAGAAGCTTCTGGGAACATACGATTCAACCTCAGTGCACTTCCAGCAAGACATCACCAATGACACCACACAGAGAGAGGCACCCCCAATCCCAATGGGTCAGGGCCGGTGGGGAGGGGCAGGGTTGCCACCTTCTAGCTGCTCCCCAACGGCACGCTTTCGAGGACCATCCGCAGCGTCTCTGCTGTCATTTGTGCTATTTGTGTGCAGGGTGGTTCCTTTCCCACGCTGCACGCCTATCTTGCAATGGGTGACCCTGGGGGCAGATCTGAACTACACTCATCCCAGGGGAAAAGCAAAGGGCGAGAGTGGGTTTTAAGGTCTGGCCCTTGAATCCAGCCTGGTTTTCCCACCAAAGAGTGACAAACTGCTAACTACTGATCAACCCGACCTCCACCCCACGTGCAAAACAACTCTGCCATCGAAAGAGCTTTATGTTCAAGTATCTTTCTTTCCCAAGGAAATAAATCCTACTGGGCATACAGCACTTTTTGATGACCTCGTATCTGGAACGAAGCCCAGGGAATGCCTCTGATGAGAGGTGGTGGGAGAACAAAAATACAGTTTTCATCCAAATATGGTCAGAAAGACCAAAAGGCATCATTCTCACAACTCATTTACTTGTCCTGACTTTAGCTAGAGAAGCCAAATCTACAGCCTGCCTCCGTAAGCTACAAGCAACCTATTAACTCCAAAACATCTCAATTCAAAAAGGGCAGATGAGAAGTAACGATTCATGTGATTTGTCCTGTTTAACTTCTTTGTGGGGTTTTATTGTCATCATACCGTGTAGGCTATGAATTAAATGTAACAGCTGCCGTAGAACATTAATTTTTCTAACATGGGGGTTTCTAAAATCATTTACCAGTCTGCCTGTGAAACAGAAGAGAGCTTATGTCATGGCTCTGTGTGTTTTTCCAGCACTCAGGATGTGCAGTGTTATACCACAAAGCACCAAGTAGGGGGGAAAGCACTAAAAACATACGGCATCTTCACGGTATCGTTAGGAAGAAACTCCCTCCTTTCAGCCCGGTGTACCTTTGAACAGCGGAAGAACAGATGAAAAACTGCAGCTTCCCTCTTTCGTAATTCCTACTTTTATTACTTCAGTTCATTTTTTATTCTCTTAATGTTCACAAACACCCCCCCCCTCACACTTCTCCAGAATTATCTCAGCAGCAGACGTTAAGCAGCCACATCTTCTCAGACGAACGCAGCCTGCCTGCACTCTGGTTCCTGTTGAACAATCCCCGTCCTAGGGCTGCGGGTACTGCCTCTGGGAGGGCCCGCTGCTGGTGTGTCTGCCAGCTCGTACAGCGCGTGAGCCCGAGCCGCGAGGATCTGCGCAGCAGACACAGTCTTCCTGAATGAAGGACCTGGGAGGGAGGGCGTGTTCCACCGCCCCTGCCATGGTGAGCCACAGTCCTTCCTCTTCAGCAGAGATGGCAAGTCCAGTACACAGTCAGCGCCCGTCCAAGAGCAAGTGAATCAAGGTCCACAACTCGGAAACACGGTCCTGTAAGTCCGTCGCATTCACAGAACGAAGCAGCAGTCAAAGGCCGTCTTCGGTGCTGGATGGGAGAGGCTGTAACTGCCCACACTCAGGATGATCTATGCTGGTTTCTATGAAAACGCGAGGCTGCCGTGTGGATGGTGACCATGGAAACGGCCGGAAGGAACACGCAGCTTCATGTCTCGAGGCTCTCGGTGGGCCCAGGAGAGCTTTTCTACTGCCATCTGAGGCCCGCGTGCCCACAACTCTCAACCTGCTGAGATCTTCACTCCACAGCAACTGACTCTACCGTCCACCAAGGAATGAGGACGTCTGTCACCACAGAAATCAGCCTCCGGCGTGCCTCTGGGATGCCCTGCTTTCCTTCCCCGTGAGCGGCCTTCTCACCACGCTGCTCTCTCTTTCCCAACACTGACTCCCATGACCCGTGACAAACACACATGAGTACATGACACTGACTCTTCCAGAAGCTTCTGTCTGAGGTTAGTCCATTTAGACGTTCGTCGTAGGAAAAATTCCCACATCCCAAATGAGGTGACGTGAAGGAAACTCTCATTTCAGGGGCCCACGGGGGCAGAAAACACCTGCTGCGTCTTGAAAAGATGTTCATTGAGCTACTACGTTCAGGCTGATCTGGGGCCTCAAGCAACCTGGGCTTCTTTCAAAAAATGCTGTCTTGAGTTCAATGGTGGAAAAACAGTTGTATACACTTAGTTACCTACCCACATGTTATATTAACTGATTCCTGACACTAAAACTCATTTACTTCTCATAATAATGGTACTTCCTTCATAGGACTGGGACCTAGATTTTACACATGAAGAAAGTTAAGTCTGGAAAGTTGAGTAACTTGGCAGGGGATGTGCAAAAGGTAAGCAACAGAGGCAGGCCTCGAACCCAAGTCTACCTCACTTGAGGCCCACGCTCTTAGCCACTGCTCTCTCCTGCCCACCCTGAGTTTTCGTTATCAAGATGATAAATACACCTGCCCACTCAGTGAACTCCCTCACAGCAGTATAGGGCAGGAGGCTTAGTTTCCCATGTTAAGGCTCCTATAATAACCATAAAAGAATCTTGATATTTTTATAATGAAACTTGTATGTGATGATAAGAAGACGGGGTCTCCCATCTCGCCCTCTACAACTGGTTTTCCTAAGGGAATTGTCTATTGTCAAGGGCTCTGTAAACTTTCTAAATAAAAAGAAATTCAGACTATCTCTGAATTGTAGACGGCATTTTTTAAAACCTGCAGTCCTCTATGAAACTTAAACGTAAAAAGTGGAGTAAATTTATCTATAAATAAAAAATAAAGTAACATTTTTTTTTATTAGTGACAGAAACATAAGAATTCGATTCCAGTTCAACTCCATAGTCTTCATTTTTAAAATGTGGCCGGTAAGTGAAATCCAACCAAGTAACTTAAGTGTGTAATTGAGGGGTAAAGTAGAGAGAAAAACTGTACCGGCTGACCAGAGGGAAGAGGCCCACTGGCAACTCACATGCAGCTTTTCAAATACGAAATTTTCAAACACTCTGCCTGTGCTGTCAGGACAGCTCTACTACTGGAAGGAATCGTTTAGAAGCCGCTAAAACGGTAGCCAAGAACTTGCTCTGACATAAACCAGCTTTCCGAATGGCTGTAAATAACATTAAACATTAGAACTTCTCCTCATAAATACTGCAACAGATTCTAACAGTTAATGCTAAAGTCCACAAGATGATTTTGAGGGCCAGCATTTAGCACCATTAATATTGCTTTATAAGCTTAGACACACGATTCCCATAAACACAAGAGTTAGAGATTATTTCTCCTCCCCTCCACTCTGATTTTCTTCTTCATAACTGCAGGATGAATTCAGGGAAATACCAAAAAAAAAAAAAAAAAAAAAAAACCTATTCTACGTCTAGTTTCTTTGGATACTTGCCAGACTCAAAACCATGATGTGGCTTAAACTATCAAAGCCAGCTGGTGATACAGAACCTTTGGTTGTCACGAAAAGAATAACCCGTACAGGTCGCAACTAATGCCCAGAAACCCTCGGGGCTGGGCAAATGGAAATAGAAATACAAGCCCACGCCTGGCTGCCTCAGCTGCGCCCCACTTACCCTCAGGATCTCCCTGGAGATGTAGGCTATCCAGTCTTCCTTGAGCGTGTTGCCCTTGGTGTTCTTCACGAGGTCTGTGATGGACCCGGCCCCGCAGAACTCCATAACAAGCTGGAGAGAGACAAGACACGCTGTGGCCAACACGTCCCCCCAGTGGCCAGAGCATCACAGATGTCAGCACACACCCGGGTAGGTCAGGGAGCAGTCTAACCCCCCTTCTTTCCTAAAGGTCTGGGCGCACGACCATTGTGGAGGCACCCAACTCCTGAGAGCATATCTCATCACGCCCCATCTATTCGGCACGGACATCCGGTCCAGGAGATCGGCGTCTGCATGTTCCACAGCGCAGCCCGTGCAGAGGCCCTGAAGCCCCCCCTTCTCTCCTGAGCACAGATGCAAGTGGACCGCTTGCTCCTAATCAACGCCCACTCATCAGAAATCTGATCCAAATACTCCAACTTGCCAGTGTCTAAAATGTTCTATTTTCCACACATCGTGATTCTCAAACTATTTTATATTAACTGGGTTTAGTACAGTTTAAAAATTTCTCTTTAAAAAGAGAAATACTATTTTTAAGCAGCACATCATTTTTTAAAAGACACTATTTACAATACCTAAATGTTTCAACAATACCAACACAAGTATATTTCCAAAGTACTTAGAAAATAAATTGAGTTGAACTATTCTAAAAATTTAACTGTGTTTGGATACGGGCAATGGAAATAAAGGTAACTGTTTCCCTTTTACTATCCTAACTTTGCAAACAGTCTCTAATGGCTTTTTTAAAAATTAGAAGAGTATTCATCTATCTTCCTGCCCTATAAGCCCAGTACCTTTGGCATAACGTGATAACCACAGATCTGACACTATCTTGGTGTCATCATCTTGAATAGAAATGTATTCAATAAGAGATACAGTTGAATATGTGTAAATTCTATAAATTTCCCTGGAGTCCACTGTTCTTAATAAATTACTGAACTAAGTTTGTTTTCTTGCAATTTGTCTCTCATTCCAACATAGTAAAGAAAGATGCATTTAGTTGAGATTCCACACTAATTTCCATACAGTTTTTATCACATTGCTTTCATTTTCAAGCTAATTTCCTTGCTATTTTGTTACTTTTTTTTTTTTTTTAATGTGCCATTTTATTCCCAAAACACAAGTTAACTCTTTTTCCTGCAATGTGAAACCAACACCAAAATAAACATTCAGGACACCTTCCACTGAGAAGGCCAGGGAAGATACCAGATGTTACGCCTTTTTCTTTGCTTTTCTCTCCCCTCCCCCCTCTGGAAGGTTCTTAATGCCCTTTTAAATACAATCAAAGAGGAAACCCCACAGAATGCTCAGGAAACGTCTGCCTACCCAGAGTTGGTCATCGTGTCCTGGGGGGCTCTTTTTAATGAAAGCACCATAATACGTTGCAATATTTCTATGATGAGAATATTTCTTCAGCATATTTATCTCCAGCTTGATTTCCTCCTCTTCATCCTTAAGAAAAAATAAAAATAAAATGTGCTTTTGAATGACATGCAGGATTTTACTTTCTCCACACGCAGGCAATCAGACGTTCCCAGCCCCTCCAGCAAGGGAGACACTTTACTCTTGTGCCAGTAATCGGGGACTTTCGGCGACGCGTCCTTTGAAATGTGATTACAAGCTCTGCAAGAAGAATTACAAGCACAAAAGGTAAAGATGAAACAGGAAGCAGCAGGGGCAGAGGGCACGCGTGGCCTGGCTCTTGCACGGGCCACGTGACCGCAGGCAATTCACTTCACTTCTCTGGGCCTCAACTGGCTCATCTGTAAAAATGGGAGGAAAAAGGAAACTGGCTGATACTACTTTAAATGACTGGGAAGGGCTGCTTCTTTCCTAGAGAACATTTGTGAGTATAAATCGTCCGACGCACTTAAGGGTCACCTCTGAGAGCATCACACAGCACCATCACCCTGGGTCGGGGGCAGGGGCCAAGCTCAGGGGCCCTGTGGTCCTGGATGGACAGCGCCCCCAAGAGACTCGGGCCAGTCCAGGAGCCCAGAAACATACACCACCACTCAGTGGCGGCAGGTTGTCCCTAGACTGGGCTCATCCCCCAGCCTCTTGCTTTACTAAAATAAGATGAGCAGAGGAAGAAATGAAGAGTCTGTATGAGAAGATTAGAGGGAGAATGAAGGGGACAGATGGTGACAAAGGTCCGGAAAATAAAAATAAGTTGCTCTTGTGAATGTTGAGGTCTCCGCCTTCTCCCACACCAACCCCTCCCCACCCCGCCCCGGGGAAAACCGCGTCATCGGGGGGCGTCCTGTCCCCTGCTGCACACACGGACACGGGGAGAGGGTAACGCCAAACCACCTGCAAAGAGTCATCCGAAGAAAGATTTACAGGTAGCACGAGAATGAGAGGAAAGCAGAATTAAAGTGAGAAAAAAGAGAGAATGTGCAGGAATAGAGAAAATCTGCCTTGGTTAGAAAAGGGGTGTCTGAGGGAAGATAAAGATCTTTGAGCAAAGCCTCATAACCAGATCTCTAGAATTCCCTTTATTTCATGTATTTTCAACAGGAAATGATGAGTGGTTCCCTAAAACCTCCTAACTTTTCTCCACTGACACACTCCTTCCACTTTAGCCGATATCCTTCCCTCTCCAGGGAAGACTCAGGGATTCTGAGCCGCGTAGGTAGGTGTATATGCACACGTGTGCGCACACACGCACACACGCACACACACACAAACTACTGTTGCAGCCTAGCATCTCCAAGAACCTTTCATAAGGCCTCACAGACCTAAAGTAAGTTTGGTTTGCAAACAGTGCTCTTAGGGCAACATCATTAATTAGATATTAACAGTGAGACCAAATGAAAAAAGAAAATGTCTTTTTAAAAACAACTTTCAGTTGGTCATTACTGCTTAATAAACCCAATACCCACGAAAACATGTAATCATCCAACACCGGTGATTCTCATGGCAGTGGCTTCCAGCTCGGTCCAGAGACATAAGTATGAGACTATTGCAGCATACAGATGACAGGCATGGTTGTCATGTGACTTTGGCACATGATGACATAAATATGAAACAGAGTCGCATGGCTAAGCACAGTCTAGACACTAGTCTGTGTAATAATTCTCATTCAAAACCCATATATATGTAAATCACACCAAATGCATATGAATTTCAACGGCCATGGTTAAAGCAGCAATGAACAATAAGAGGCTGAACAACTAGGATAATTAACTAGCTTAATTCTAAACAAAACCAGTGCTTAGCCTGGCTAGTATTACACAACCACACACCTCTATCTGGGACCTTTATAGTATAGAAACTTTATACTATAAAACATAAAGGGGCAACAGCTTTTGTTCATACTGGGCACAAGGAAGCACGCCCCAAGCAGAATTAGGAAGCCCCATCCATCCACAGCTTTATCTTACGCTCACGTTCGCGCCCATGCTGTGGAAGGACCACCACCTGCCAGCACAGGGGCCCTGCTCTCTCTGGATCACAGCTCACGACTCGCTGCCCACAGTCTCTGGGTTCCTGGGCAGCCAGGACACCCCAACGAGGCCTGTCGAGACTGACACGTTCCTAACAAAAATGAGCGCGAGTCTGGCCATAGCCTCACTCCTGCTGGAAAGGAGGTGGTGTTACTCCAGGATCAGAAAGTCAACTAAAGGTTTGATTTTTTTCCTCTTATCCAAAACCAGTAAATCTGTAAGGATCCGGGGTACAAAGACTACACAAAAACAAAAGGAACAATGCTGAACTAGAATAGGGAAAAATCAATACACTACTGATTTTAATTTTCTGTGCTAAGACCACAGCCACTCACTTCATGCAGTAATGTGTGCCTTCCGGGATGGAAGGCGGGACTTCATTGCTCCATCCCTAACCCTTCCTAGGGGCCTCCACCCGCCCCCCACGCTGCCTAAGTCACCCCAGGGTCTTTAGTCCCTGTGATGCTCTGCCAGTAGGTTTCACTTCTGGACAGAAAGCAAACGCTACCTACAGTTCTCCCATAAGAAGCTTCCTGAGCAATAATTAAGGGTCTTGACATACTGTGACTGGTTTTGACATATTTTTTCTTTTAGTGGCAAAAACCAGTGTCTTCCGGGATCTAACTCGTTCACCGCTCTGTATAAGAACAACCAAGACCCTCCATCGGCCCCTGATGTTTTTGGAGCCCACTGAGTTAAAATCCTCACACATCTTACACATTTAAAGATCCCCATAGGCTTAAATGCGGTACTGCTCATCGGTGTGAAAAGCACTTAATATGCACACGGGTAATACTGCTGGAGGACCATCACGGCACAACGCATCTCCCTGAACCTAAAATGCTGCTAGACAGACACCCAATCACTTTTCGTAACGAAACTATGATTCACCATCAATCATAAGACACGGGCTGTAACATCTTTGAAACTGGGCTGTAAGTTACAAACAATGAAATATGACATAAGAACAGCTTAAACACAGTTTGGTAACAGCTTTTCTAATATGACTGAAACATCCAAATATTTTCCGAAAATACAGTAATCAGATCGATGTCTCTTGCCAGAATACTTCCGGGGTCTTAAGTAGTCAAATCCTGGAAGCAGATGAAACCGAACTACAAATACTGAGAGGAAAACATACTGTCCTCTCAAATCATCATTTCAGGATAAGGATTATATATACTTTGAAACATTCCTTCTCTGGCTTCTCTGATTTTCAAATAGATGGCTACTGCACAGTTTATAAAATAAAAAGGCACTCAGCACCACCAACTGTCATTCACTGTCTCACTATGAGTGCCCACCTTGGAGGAAGAGCATCAGAAACGCAGAATCTACCAACAGTTTGGAGCCAACTGCAGCTGGAATCCTAATCACGACTAATGCTTATAATATAATGTCTTATACGGTGTCTTTAGGGTAATAATGAACCAACTTCTGAGTTCGAATCTCCCTTCAGTCGTTAGTTTGGTGTTCTCATTCCAGTATTTAAATGCATGCACACCACCACCAAAAACAAACACCTCATTTTGCCAGAAAAGATACAGCAGAAAACAGACTTAGAACAGAGTAACTGCATTTTTAAAACGATGACAAATCCCACATTTGCAAAGAAAGTGGATGTAGCAAAGCTCCATGAGGAAGTGATATATCCAAGTATCCCGGCCGAGTCCAAACGCCTCTGCCCTTCATCCTCCCCTTTAGGAGGCCACAGTCACGTACAGATGGAAAGAAAAAAGAATTAAGGGTCACTTGAGAGAGGAGAGGGGGCGTTTGGGGAGGACAGCAGGCCCCCCTCCGGGTCTCCTCCAGGGATGAGGCAGCTGCCAGCCCCCTGGTGATCTAAGGCAGCTGATGCCAATTAGCATCCCGGACTCTCCCCAGTGGGAGCAAACTCTGGCAGAAAAGGTCTTTGTCTCAGGCTGAGCTAAGACTAGGGAGGTGTTTTCCTTTGCCTTCCTTGGCTGCTAGAGGACAGGGCGGGGGAACCGGGAGGGTACATCTGAATCGTGGTCATCTTCAAAAGCAGCTGTGGGTTTGGGAGTCATACGAAAAGCCCTGATCCACTCCACAGTCTGGTGCATAGGACTAGTAGGGTTTCTTAATGACTCCTTAAAATGTTGTTTAAACTCTCTTGTTACCAAAATTCTGTCTCCTTCCACTGCCAGCAGGCAGACCTCCAATGAGCCCGACTGGGAGGACCCAGGAGGTCTGGGGGGTGCTCTCCCCAGCAGCCCCTCCTTACAGAATTAAGCCTACTCATTAAGAGCTGAACCAAAACAGGAAGGGCCATTCATTATTCACTCTATCTTTACTAGATGGAGAGAATACTAATAAAATGAAATACAAGAGTATCTCTGGCAGATTTCACCACCAAAAGGTATATACTTAGAATGAAAATAGCCATTAAATATCCATTTTAGAAAAAAGTTTACAAGTTTGTTTTAGTTAACTACTACCAAACCCTTCTTTATGGGACTGGGAACTGGCAGAGAAATGAGGGCAGATCACCTTTGACTTGGCAAACCCCAGCGACATCTGAGAGTGTTATTCAGTATCACACCAAGCTGAATTAACCAAAATTAATTTTTATGACTCAGACATATGAAAAGTTCTGCAACTTAAGTTCACTGATAATTCAACCAGACAGAGGCGAACACGACTCTGCAGGGAAGCTTCTAGAGCAAAATGAAGGTCCAGGATCTGGTCGAAGGAAGGAATGGAACGTTCTTTAAAATTAATCCACGTCCATCTCAGAAGACCCATCAGCTCCAGAACAAAAAACCCAACAGAAAAATGACAAAATTAACATAGCTGCACTCGTGACATCTTACTCAACAAGGAATACTGCCTTGAACACATTTCAGACAAAAAGACATGCTCCCTAGCTTTGCTACTGAGCCAATGGACTTCTGAGACCCCGAAGTCTAACCCTGGCGGCCCTGACGCGCTTAACCTGCTCTCTCTGTCGACAGACACCACCACGTAGGACTCTACTTGACT